TCCTGACATTAAAGAATGGGTCATAAATCAGTTGAAAGGTAAATCATATTTTCCCTCTGCAAAACTTTTCCAGAGGAGCAGGATCTTGAAGTGACATCTCTGGGGCACATATGGAACCCCTGTTAAAACGGCTTAATGGTTCAGGGAGACCAGAAGGGCTGGTTGCCTTCAGATGATAGTTATGCGTATTTAGGTTTCTCACCTGCTACTGGCATTAGAGAAAGCTCAATATGAATTTTTCACCTGAGCTTGGGTTTCTTTAAACTTCTCCATCAGTACAACACTCCTTCTCATCTTCCTCTTTGCATCCTGTTCTCTCCCCTGGGAACATTTCCTGCTACTGCTGTGAGACCAAAGCTTGAGACTCTCTTTTGTTCTTTAGCTGGTGGGCAGGCACCAGCTGGGGAAAGGCAGGTACTCAGGCTTTCTCTAGCCTTTCATGGGTAGACCCCATCCCTAGGGTGCAAGGTACATGCAGAAGCAGGCAATTGCTTCACCCATAGAGAAGGTGCATTAGGGTTCTGGCACCCATACAGCGACCCTTGCACATGCTGCACAACTGTAAGCTGATTCCCAGGGGAGTTTTGCAAGCTTGAAGCCCGTTTGCAGTAACAGTGCCTTGCAGGTGACTAAGGAATAGGCAGAAAGCACTGGGAGCACCAAGCCAAAGCCCTGTTGGAGGCTGAGAGCCGAGTCTTCACAGCAGCTCCTTGTTGCACCTTTGGAATTGCACTGCCAAAAGATCTGCCTCCCAGTTGAAGAATAACAGATGTGTTTACCACACATCAATCTGTCTCTGTCTGGGTCCTTACACGGCCCCCATCATCATCCTATTCAAGAGTCTGCAAAGTATTTAAAAATAGCATTAACACTAACAATCTCTCTTTCTTTCCTCCCCAGCTTGTAGCAGAAATAGCTTGATTAGTGTACAGTTCTGGTGCTTCAAGGGGGAGAGAAATGAAATTGCAGAGCTTTGCAGAGTGGCTTTTCAGCCTTCTTCAGGCATCAACTGCCGGCTGCTTCACTGAAGCACAGGTTCTTCAAAGGATGGCAGATTTTAGATCAAGGACTGCTTGTTCTGCCACACATATTCTCAGGCAGATATACAATGAGGAGAGAGAGAGAGGCCCTGCTGCAGCTTTGGACCTTGGGAGAGATGCACCTGATGCCCCTCCCAACTTCCTGCTGTCACTCTTTTACCATGTCCAGAAGGCTGGGAAGGAAAGGACTTGGGAAGGGGGTCTGTCCTGGGGCAGATGAGTGGGTTAGCCAGAAAATAGCTCAGCAAGCTCTCTGAAAATACCACCAAGCTGTAGCCTGACCAGGGAGGAGCTTGGCAGGCAAGACCACCAGCATCTCATCCTGTCCTTCAAATGTGGATTTCAGGGGTGACTTTGAGGGAACAACTTGTCTTCTCCAGGGCTCATCCTCCTTCTCAGAAGAAAAGGGAGGTTCACAGGGAAGGTTTCACTCACTTTAGTACGTGTGCAGTGTTTTGAGGTTTGCATTTACAGAGGCTGTGTGATGCCTCTACCTAACAGTGGCATAGGCCATGTCAGCTGCAGGCATGACTCTTGACTGACCTTTTCAGTAGGTTTCCTGCCCAACTCCATATCCCCTCTCTGCCTTCCTCTAGGGCTGCTGGCAGCTCTTCCTCATCTTATGTTTCTGAAATACACCATGCCAGCCAGAAATCAGCAACAGCTCTGCTTGCTTCTTCCCTGCCTTGAGGGCAACAAAGAGGCAAGTTCTCAGCACAGCTGCTAACAGATGTGTACCCACAGCACAGCATCACACACACACCCACAGCTGAGGACACCAGCAAGGCCCCTACTGCCCTGTAGCCAAATCCCTTGTCAAAAGCAAGGGTGGGAAATGCAAACAACTCACTCCCCCAGTCCTATAAGGTGCCTCAGATGCTCATAGTGCCTGCTTGTAAGAGCAGCAGCAGCAGGAATGATGAGCCAGGAGATTGGGGAGCAGCTGCAGCCACTCAGCCCAGATGGAGCAAGACCTCGGGAGGCTCATAGTGCCGAGGCACAGTTTCCTCCTTTGCAACATGAGTCAGTGAACATTTTCCACAGCATCTCCTGTCCTATGACTTACTGCTGCAAGGCTTGGGGATGTGGTCTGTGGGTCTGCCTCAAGGCTGACACAGCATCAGGCCCCTTAGGGCATAGCAGTGAAAAAGCAAGAAGAGCAAATTGCAGGAATAAATTGCACACAGATTGCAACAGTAAGCTACCCTCTCCAGCAGCATCTCTCCCAGGATCTCAAAGCACTTACAACTTGAGAAGAAACTTAATCTTAGTGGCAACCTCAGGATGGAGATTTGATGGAGTTTCACATCATGTTGTACTTTCAGTGGAGGAAGTGTGGGCAGAGAGAGCGGCAGACAGCCTACAGTGTGCCAGGGAAGAGTTGCCATCCAGAGCACTGCAGTGTAGATTGGTGCATATGTCTGTGCTGGTCACAGCTGTGGTGGTAGTGGAAGGAGAAAGGTCTTACTAGGGCAGCAACTCCACTGCCATGTGGCCAGGAACACAGACTGCTCCAGGCATTGCTTTCAGGAGGGATAAAGAAGACTCTAACACACTGGATACTCCACTGTCTCCTCCAATAAATCTACTCTGGATGCTCTAGCCAAGAAAAATATCTCTGCACAGACCCACCTTCCCCAGAACTGAGTCTCATTTCAGAAGTGCACAGCTTTTGTCAGGAGCCAGCTCTGACCAGGGGAAGGGGGAAAGAAGCATGATCCTGAACTGCTGACCCTCAGCCCCTCCAGTCCAACCATAGGATGGACTAACTAAACTGTGGCTCTGTGTGCGGCAGTGAAACAGTCATATCAAAAGTTGTGGACGTAAAAAGGGAGAGCCTGGAGCATGAGTAAGCAAAGCCCGAGTGGTATGGGCTTCCAGAGTTTCCAGCAGCCTTGGATCTGATCTCTTCCTCCTGCTTCTGCACTCCAGAGAGAACCTCAGAAGTCAAAGTCCTTAGCCAGCCTCTCCTAGAGAGGTCCCAGGGTTAGGGTGTTCACCCAAGGATCATCTCCAACTCACCACCCAAGTTGTCTGTGGCTAATAAGCAGTCAGTTATCTCCTCTGTGAGTTCTTTCTCCAGCCACAGGAGGATAAAGTCTCTGTGTTATCCTGGGGAATGCTGAGAGATTCAATGCCTTGCAGGCGTAGGCAATCAATTTCCTTGGTGCAGGTTTTCCTAAAATCAAGGTGCTGCAGAGCTGGAGCACCCCAGCTAGCTAATTCTTGGAGCAGGGTAATGCTTCTGCTGGCAGTGCAAGAGTAATGCAGGCTTCTGCCGAGCCATCTGCGGGGAAGCATCTTGCCATTTCCTGACACCCACATGCTGGCTTTCAGCCATGAGCACACAGAACTCTTCTGGGCTGACCATACAACCTGTGGACTTCATACTTCCAACACTGAGCTGGCTGGGTGGGTGGGTCGGTGGGTGGATGGATGGATAGATGGATGGATGGTTTCCTCCCATTAAGGGCAGCCTGAGATGCCAGAGAAGGATAGTGCCAGCCCTAAAAACACTTGGTGAAGGGCAGCAATTTATGCCCTGCTCTGGCCGAGGGAGAGGCGCGGAAGGACATAGCCAGTGTCTGCACAGCCATGAGGACAGCAGTGGTGAGCATGGCAGTAAGTCCTGATGGGTGCCAAACACATCCCCCTCAGAGCGTCCCCTTGGCAAAGGGAGAAGCAGAAGAGCAAAGACACTGGCACTGGCCTGCTGCTTTGCTCATGTTGGGTTTTCCTTTGTGTTCCACTTTGTAAATGTCATTTGGGCTGTAAAATGTCACTTGATGTCTTTCTTTCCAAGGTGTTTTCAGCAATGACTGCTCCAGAAACATGGTCAAGACCTGCCAGTTAACCTGAGAAAACAGACTTCTCTTGTTCTTCTCCAAGAGCACTTGCCAGCCAAGGATCTCAAAATATTTTGCCCCACTTAGTGCTTCCCACAGCAGGAGCTTTGTTACCTGAAGCCAAACCTGATGAACAAGTTCCCACCTGAGCCTGGGACTGTGCTACCTTCTATGCCTAATGGTTTGCTGAAAGTTGTGGCCACCTCTTCAGGAGAAACTCCTGAGATACGGCAGTCACAACCCTCGGAAGGGTAAGGGAGGCACAGATGTGTACTGTGCAGCCTAGTGCAAGGTGAAGGCAGGAAATTAGTCTCTCACAGCAGGGCTAAGGTGTGATAGCCCTCACTTCTGCCTTTTGTGCATCCACCCAGCATCTGGGAGGCTGAAGGAAGAGCTGCTTCTCACCTGCCCCCTCAAGCAGCATGGTGACTTTATGGCCAAGAGACACAGCTCCTAAGGGAGGCAGGCAGGGGAAGATTGAAGCAGCTGTTCTCTGCGCCCACATAACCTGCTCCGAGTCAGAGGCTGCCAGACAAAGCGTTGGCTGTGTCTCTTTACGTGGCCAGAGCAAGAAATGGCCCAGCGGCTGCTGCAGTGGGAAGTGGTTGCACCAGCACTCTTGCCCACCTCAGAGAAACTGAGGCACGCAGCGGCGATGTGCGCCATCAAGCACCAAGTGGGGGGACCAAATCCCAGAAGCACAGTGGTCCCCGGCTTAGGGCTGTGCCCCGTGGGTTGCCTTATCGATAGCCAACCCTAATGGGCATTAGCCGTGGCAGGTGGCTCCTTCTTGCTGCAGTCGGAGCGAGAAATCGCTCCAACACCCGGTTAGCGGTAAAGCGATCCCCCCGGGACGAACAAAAAAAATTCCACGCCCTCGCCTTCAGCGGGGAGAGCAGCGGCCGAGCCCGGGTCAGGGAACCCTCCCCCTCCCGGGGTGCCCGGCCCCGCCGCGGGCGGCGGGGGCAGCGCTGCGGCCGCGTCCGGCCCCGCTCTCGCTTCCCCCGCTTGTCCCGGCTCTGGTCCCCCCCTGGCCGCTCCTTCCCCCTTGCCGGCTCCGCTCTCGCCCCTTCCCCGCTTAAGGCGGCCCCGCGGGATGCGCGGCGCGCAGGAGCCGCTGCGGGCGGCCCTCGGCGCTCCCCCACCCCCGGCGCGGGGTGGCCTTAAATCGGCCCCGCGCCGCCCGTAGCCGCATCGCCGGCGCCGTCTGAAGGCGGGCGCCGCCATCCGCCGGCAGCGCCGACGGGCCGGTCCCGGCTGCCATCCTGGTCCCGGTCCCGGTGCCGGTCCCGGTGCCAGTCCCGCGGCGCAGGGAGGACACGCCTCCGCCCGGCGGCGGGCGATGCTCCCCCGGCAGCCACCGGCGCGGTTCCGCCCCGCGCTCGGCTCCCCGGCATCTCCGCCGTGACCGACCCATCTCGCCAGGTAAGCGGGAGCCCCGCGCTCGGGCACTGGGGTTTTGGGGGTGGGGGCAGCGCCGGGGATACAGGGGTGACCTTGCCGTCCCCTGGCGCTTGGCGCTGGAGGAGTGCTCTGCCCTGCGACCGGCAGCGGGGTTCCCGAACTTAATCCCTGCTCAGCGCCCGAACCGGCTCCGCTCTTCACGGGGAGCCCCTGTCCTTGCATCTCCCCACACCTTGGCCCGGGCACCTTCCAGAGGAGCGACAATCCACTCCCAGGCTGGAATTTTCCAGCTGTGGGGAGATGCCCCCATTCCTGGTGTGTGTCCACCCGGGAATCTCGCCGCCGGGATCTCAGAGCGATGGTACCCAAACGCGGGTCCTGGACACGCCGCTGCTCCCGGAGAGGTTTTATTGCGCCTCTTGGTGACAAATATCAGGGAAGCCAAAGTACAGAGGGGCGAAGGGGTTTGTGTGCAGGCACAGGCAGGAACGTTGGCAACCGAATCCAAGTGGACATCTCTGTGAGGGGCTCTGGAGAGGTGGACTGGGAGAGGGCAAGAGAAGGAGGGCGGGGAAGGGCTCTGCCCTTTTCACCCCAGCCTGACACACGTATGTCTGCCGAGGGATGCACTTGCTGGTTTTCTGGAGCAGAGTTTGGGGTCTATGTTGCTAGGTGAGTTGGAAAGTACTTTTTTCAGCATCGTACTCCTGCAACTCACCCATCCAGCTTCAGGCCAGGGGAGAGGAGGGTAGTGCATGACAGGGAGAAACCCCTCAAGGTGCTGCAAATCTGGAGAGAAGCAGCTGTTTTCTCTGTAACTCTTTAGGGAAAACTGCCAAGGGGCAATTTCTGTGCATCTAGAGAGAAGGGCTATTCGAGTCAGTGGGGCAGCACCAAGCATCACCATAGCAGAGCAGTAATGACAAGCAATAAATACCTGTCCAACAACTTGAAGTCCGCACAGCTCAAGCAGTGAGTGGGGGAAAGGGAGCGATGCAGCCTCTGCAGGTGCTTTCAGCTCGTTTCCTGGACCCAGTTTCCTTGTGCAAAGCACGTATGCAGAGAGTGTAACAGGCAACAGCAGCTTCACATACAAGTCTGATCACCCACCTCTGCTTCGCCTTAAATCTCATCTGCTGCAAAAAGGGAAAAATGAATGGGGAGGTTCATACCTTGCATCCCTGGATAGCCAGCAGAAGTGCAAGGCATTGACTTTGCTAGCCTCAGACAGGACTAGGAACAGGGACCATATCACAAGTTGGGAGACAGGTGCACAGAGACAGCAGGATGGGAACTTCACAGAAGGGAGGCCATCGTTTCTCTGAAATTAGATACCTTGGTAGAAGATTATGGGGACCTCAGTCTCAGGTAATAGGGAGGGTTACAGGGCATGAGGGGGCAGTGGCAGAGCTGTGTGTGACAGCCTGTGTCACATCTTTTTGCAGCTGTGCATGCTGCCAATCCCCTTCTCTTGATGCCTTGAAGCAGGCTCTGGGGAGCTTGATGACTTTCGGTTGGTGCTTGCTCCATGGTTTCCTGGAAGCTCTCTGTTAGCAGGCATGCTTTGGACACAGACCGTGCGTGAGTGCCAGCGGCTGAGCACACACTGTGTCTGCCTGGTGTGAGGCCAGGAGCTCAGTGACTGTGATTCCTGCCCTCCCTACCTTCCAGGAGCAACTTTGGTGTTGCTTTCAGGGCACTTCAGTCTACACTGAATTAAGGCTCTGCAGGGCAGTTAATGTGCAGAGGTAGATGCACTGAGCAGCTAACTTGTCGTATCGGGTGTTTCAGGAATAGATGACATCAAATTAAAACTCTTGGCTTCTTTGGCATTTTCAGTGCAGTAACAATAATAATAATAATAATAATAATAATAATAATAATAATAATTTTAAAAATCATCTAGGCACCCTTGCAATCCCAAAGCAATTCAATCAGCTGACACAGAGCACAGCTGAGATACAGCCACCTTTATAGCGAAGGGCCTCGGTCTGGTTTGCAAGACACTTTAGCAGCCATGGGATAGAAAGCAAAGCAGTTGGGCTGAGGACACTTGCTCTCACGGAAAGGGTTTTAACGAGGGAAGCTCCCGCACCTTTGGGCTTTGTTACAGTGTCATTTGGGAAGACTGTTGCCTAGGGAGCTGTACAGAGCTATAGAGCAGCTAAATGTACACAAGAGAGAAAACACTTTCACAATGTACAGCCCTTAAATTCATATTCTTTCCACGGTTTTGGAACGTCTTTGTGACTATTGCCTATGTCCTCTAATGCCGTTTTCCCTGCAGAGTGTCCGAGGTCACACTGGACAGCTCAAGGCTATATCTCCTATGTAGCCAGCGTCCTTTCTTCTTGCTTATGAAGCATTGGTAGAGGTGCTTTTTGGCAGGGAACTTCCCTCTGCTTCAGCAGCAGGCCAGGAGATGTCCCTAGTGTCTGAGAGCAAAGTCATACCTAGCTGACAGCTTGCTGGCAGGAGCCTGGATTGCATTCACTCCAGCTGTACCCCTGGATAGCTTTCCTCCCCTCTTCACCACAGTAGTCACCTGCCAACGGCAGTGCCCTCCACATCCTCATGTTTCTCAGTGCCTTCATAGCTCCAGCCTCTGCTGCCCCTCTCCCTCAGGGTGCTGGTGCTGCAGGCACAGTCACCTCCAGCTTCTCACCAATGCCTCGGGACGCAATGTTGCTGTCCCAGTCATCAGAAGCCACCCCACAACCCCATCCAATTCCAGGAACTACTTCCAAAGCCTCTTCTTCCTCGTCTTCAGCTCTCTCGGTTGTCTTTCCTATTCCCAATATTTGTGAGCAATAAAGATATATGCTGCAAGCCTTCATATGTATGCCTACAAGGGATGACATATTTGACAGGCTCCAAAGATGCCCTTTACTAAGCATGGAAAATTGCTTTGGGAAAGCTCTGCAATTATTCTGCAGGATGTACACAGGAAAGATGATATCTGCCCCCTTCCTCTTTGTATCTAATTGTTCCTAATAAAAGAAGAAGCCTAAAAGGGAGGTAATAAGCCAGACTGGAATCCAGGTCCCACACACCTCCAGGGCCCCGGAGAAGTCTAGGATCTCTCTGCCCTTTTTGCTTCTGGCCTTTCTGCCTAATAATAAGCATTACACTTTTCTGCGCCACTTCCCATCCCGAGATCTCAAAGTACTCCACATATGTGATTAAGAGCACTCCCTGCCCACATACAGAGCTGTTTGTCAGGATGACTACCCCCACTTTACAAGGGAGACACTGCAGCTCATCACGTCAGAGCTGAGACAGACCCAGATCATCTGTCTCCCAGGCGAGGCCCCTGCAACTCTGAGAAGCACTTGCTGGGAAGAAGCTCGGACTGACAGGACAGCGATTTTAAATCAATGAATACTACAAAAGACTAATAAATACAGGGCACAATGAGACCTGTGGCTGTCAGCAGCCCTCCTCTTGGGTGCAGGCAGAACTGCCTAAAGCCCATTCTTCGACAGGGACGCTGGTCAGACCCCACTGATTCCTTCAGGTTGGGGTGTGTCTCCAAACCGTGCCTTGATCCATGGTCAGCACACTTATAGAAACTTGGTCCTTTAATCTTCCATGCTGTTTTAGGCTGTGCAGGCTCATAATTAAGAGCTTGAAGTCTCTTCTAGTTTGCTCTCATGTGACATTAGTACTCCCAAAGGTCTTTCCTTAAAAGTTTGAATTTATCTACTTTGCCAATGTTCCCAAGTGTTCAATCAACTGCCTTGTTGGCTTACTCCACTATGCAGTGTGGGGTGCTGTCTGAGATCCTTCTCCCTGAGTTGAAAACAGTGCACTTCGCAAATTCCTCAGATTTATAAAATGTGAGCCAAGTTTCCTCAGGAGGCACAGCTTCCCAGGACTGAGACACAGAACTGGGATCTACAGCTCCAGCACAGGGGCCTTTAGGTTTCGTTTGCTGCTCATCCCTACTCCGATCAGCTAAACCCACTAATGCCTAATGCACATAGAGACATTCCTTAAAATGGGGTTGGTTAGCTCAGAGACACAGTTGACAAGGGACATTGAGGTGAAAAACAAAGCAATCAACAACACGGAAGAGGGAGAATGAATGCTTCTTTATATGGCTTTTCTCAGTAGAGGAACTGGAGTGCATCCAGGAAAATGTGAAAGGTAGCAATTTGATGATAAAAGTATGTTTTTTCCCCTGCTGTGATAGTGACATAAGAAACTCGCTGCTACAAGATGCTGCTGGTGCTGAGTGTAGGATTAAGAAAAAGAGGAGACATTTTGATGGATAGTAGATCATTTATCACTGGACAGGTCAGTCCATTTGAAATAGATCTAAACCTTCAGGCTTCAACCCCTCACAGTTGCCGAGCATAGGATTTCTTATATCTCCTAAAACCCACAATATTTATCAATGTAAGAGACAAAGAACAAAAGGATAGAGACATGTTCAAGTGAAGATCACTGGGTTGTATTTTAATTTCCAGGCAGAAGCAAAAAATATGTGTTTTCCAGCCTGTGTGCTGACACTTAGCTCTCATAGATTTGGGTTTGTCAGCTAAAACAGGTTCACATTAAGTTCTGTTGAGACTTGAGCTGGTCCAGTGGTGCTTATGTTGCCACTTCCCTTGCCTGTGTTATGGATTTTGACAGACTGGAAGCATCCTGGCAACTTTGTGTGGTGTGGGTCTATCAATAACGCTGTATTTCAAAAGGAAATGGTATTGTTCTATTCTTTGGATGTTACCTCCTGGCAATGAAAGCAAGGGCATTTATTCCCAGTACAGCCAACCTCTAGCCAAGCAAGTGCTGGGATTACTTGGAGCTGAACAGGGTTAGCAGTTGGGCAATCTCAGCTCTGGATAAAAGATTTTTAGAGCAGCAGTATTGTCTTGTTCTGTAAGTTCACGGTGGGTCTGTGTGTGGGAGTACAGGGCACGTGGGAACTGTGATTTGCTAAGCAAAGCAGGATTGCTCCTTGACAATCCTTGTATGGGAGAACTTGGAGAAAAAGCCAAAAGCAAGGCAGGCAACAG